GGTGGCCAGGACTTGAGAAAAGACTTTCAAACTTCGAGACATTATCTAAGAATTGCCTTCATAAACATTTGCAAAGGTGATGCAAGAAAAGGATGTTTATTAACTTCTTCACTTACTTAAGAAAGTTAGGAGTGAGAAATCATAAAAAGGAAAATCCCCTGCGTTTGTCTAGCTGGGAATAAAAACAGCGCAATTGTTCTTTAAACATATGTGTTTTGTAAAAGTTAAGTCTACTAACCAACCAATGAGATGACTAGTTGAAATGATATTGCCACTGATCAAATTGCTCCAGATAATATGATGAGACATCTAAGACTGGAAATTTGACTAAGTTTACAATTTAATATATTTCTTTTTACCACCGTTGAACAGTCTACCCAATTTTGGGTTTGCGACTACCCGTGTTCAACTCCGCACCATTGTAGTTTTGAACCCAATCCTGAAGACAAGAGAACTCCTGCATCAAGAAATGGGCGAAATTTTGTCTTCGTGGAGAACTGTTTGATGGAACTAACCCGCATTTGCGTTACATGGAGAAGGAGATCAAAAAAAAATGTCCGACGGATAGCCTAACGGCAAGGGGAATCTCACCCATGATCCGTCTATCACTGAGGATATTTTACGCTAGCACTATGGTCGGTGCGATCCGGGTGAGAAATTCGAATCGACCAGCTATCACTGGGATTCGGACCCGGTTCACCTAATTGTAAGGCGAACACTCTATCCCCTGAGCCACCACGGCTCAAAGTTTTATATGTCTGTCGTTGAACAACCAACCCAATTTTGGGTTTACGACTACATGTTAACTCCGTAGCCTTGTAATTTTGAATCAATCCAGAAAACAAGGAAACTCCTGGATCAGTGCCACAAAGGTATTGATTTGTTATAGGAACATAGAGGACTTTGCGACTCGACAGATTTAACGTGCATCAGTCACCATTTATTACACGGGTAGTCTTCGGCCGGCGGATCGAGCCCTCGACCTCTATGACATGGGCCCAGTGCTCTACCAACCAGGCTATCCTGGCCTCAAAGTTTTATATAGAAAAACTTCATATAAAAATTGATTCTAGCATATGTAAGAATAGGTCATAGTGGATCCTTTATGAACCATTAATTTTCTATTTATGCCACTGATGTAATTGTTCATGCCGGTATTAAAATGCTATACCTAAGATAAAATTATTTGACAAAAATGTATGTCTAGTAGACGTGAAAATGGAACTCGATTTTAAATGTCTCTGCATTTTAAGTTAAAAATAAATTAATTTGGGGAATAAGCTCTGAAAAAATATAGAAATCAACTAGAAATATGTTTAAATACTTCTTGTAGGGATTAAATTTTTTTTCCTTATTTAAAAAAACTTTTTTTTTCAGTTACAATTTTGATCAATGCATAGAATTCGTAAACTTTTGTGAACTTGATATAGTAAAATGATGTATATTAAGCTCTTGATCTTCCCAAAAAAGTAAAGAACGAAATCTTAAACAGAATCTGTTAATGTTTGGCTGAGTATATTATATGAAAGTATTGTTAGTTCCACATACTTTTGTAAAATTAAATTTCATTAACCCAATATTTTTATGATAAATAGATAATAATATTGGACCATTAATATATGCATTAATATATAATTAATATATGTGTATATTATTAATTACGATAATGAATATTATCATTAATGTATGCAAATAATTAAATATAATTCTAAAAATCACCCAGAAATCATTACCGATTCTAAAAATCTTTCAGAATTTTAATTAGTCCGTTCAGAAGAAAAACTTGAAAATTGATTTTTGTCAAGCATTGCAACAAAGCAAACTAAAAGGGATTTTTCCTTTCAATTACTTTAAAGATAATATGATGGAGGAGTTAATTTCACAGATTATAATTTTTTTTTTTTACTCGTTAGGAAAAACGGGTATTCAGTTAGTATTACTTAGTAGACAATGGGACACAGTGGACTGATTTTGGTCGCATTATTGTTATGATTATTTTTTATACTGAAAATTATAAAATCAATGAACTGGAAACAAACTTTAATAATACTCATTCATAATTTTTTCACGCATAAATCTAGATTTCAATGGAAAATGGATTTCGAATTAAAAAAAATCATTCTTCACTTAATTGGCTACCACGACTGGCCATTTTAAAAAAATATTTATTCTATCCAAATTTATAATATTGTTTTTATTTTTGATAATTTCAAACACATTTAATAGATATTTAGGACGGAATTCCTTGATGCTACTGACAAGACACTTAAAAAATATTTTAATAAAAATTTCTATAAGCTATAATTTTTGAATAAAGAAACAGTTTTAAACAAACAAATCTTTTATTATTTAATCAATATAAAAATACAAAAAAAAGCGGAAGTGTGTAAAATATTTCTAACCATGTTAAAAGAGTTACGTGCCATATACTCAGCCTTGAATCTGTTTACTATACCTTAATAGCCTATCTGGAAATTATTATCTGTTGTGAATTCTTAAATTCTATACGTTTCTGAAGTTAAAAATTAAAGCATAATTTTTTTCATTTTTTTTAAATTTTCGAGTGTTTTTTCTTTTTTATTTTTCAAAATAGAAATCTAAATATTTCAGCAATTTAAAAAGTCTGTATAGATTTTTTAAAAAAAATCATCTAACTTCCTCAAAGTGAAAAAATTTTGCGCACAAAAGTGTGATTTTTGGGTGAAATTAACTGTTGGTTTGCTACTACAGTATCTGCGAAAGAAAATTTTAGTTGTATATGTTACTGTTAAAGTGATAAATCCTGTTATTGCTAACTGGTCAATATTAATAATAACCGCTTCTTTTGTTCACAGTGAAAAATATCGCGAATTATTCACTTATACCGGTTTAATAATAATCAATGAAGTTTGGTCAATGTGATTAAACGGTTTATGTAGCATTGGGTCATAGGTGTGCCGCTTTGAACATGTGTTACGGTAGCAGTGATAAATATAGTTATTATTAATATTAACCAGTCAAAATTAATAATAACCACTTTTTTTGTTCAAGAGAAAAATATCACAACTTATTCACTTTTACCGTTTATTATTATTAATAATAAATGAAGTATGGCCAATGTGATTAAATGGTTCAACCGGTCAAAATTAATAATAACCGCTTCTTTTGGTCAAAGTGAGAAATAAAAGAGCGAAACAATGACATTGATCAAACTTCATTGGTTATTATTACTAATAACCGGTTAATATGATAAACTCACTTAAATTATTCACTTTAACCGGCTTATTTCGTTTTTATTAATATTGACCGGTTGGTATTAATAATAACCGACTATTCACACTGACCGTAACATATACATAAAGTTTTTATTTTTAAAAACCGAAATTATTAAAAAAAAAATTGCATTAGGAGCATTTATAATTACATGTTATTAAAAAGTCTTTTAAAAACTATTAAAATTAAAATACTTTTTATTAAAATTTGTCAAGATTTTTTTTCGCCAACTCTTTATTATTATTAATTAAAATATACCACTGAAAAATTTAAAAAAAAATTAATTATTAGAATATTCAACTTACAAGTGCTGTTTAGAATGCATATCTAATTGTTAAATTTAAAAACCAAGTTAGCTGGCACAAATTAAAAAAAAAAAATTCCTAAAAAGGATAAGGCAATTTCACCTTCTCACTATGATCTTATTGTACTCATAAAAAGGTTCGATAAATGCTACGATATTCGGGTTTTTGAAGAAATTTAATATCTACAAAAAAGAAGAATTTATGAAAACGATTCTAAGAAAATTGCAATAAAGTTAATTACAGTAATTAATTTATTGCTTAGTTATATGTATAATTTTCCAAAAATATTTTCTTAACAGCAAGTTTACGATTAAAACTTTTCTCTGTTTATTTTTTTCACCGGCATTATTCTACGTATTAAATTCTAATCCGTGCAAAAACTGTTTCAATTATTTGTTTCTATAACAGCTCATTATGAAACTTATAAAACTCTCGTGCTGCGCTGTAAATGAAACTTACCTATCCTAAATCAAATAAATGGATTATTTCTATTGCTTTTATTTTTTTTATTTGATTTCATTAAATCTTCGAAACATTTTATGAACGTGATGTTCGCTTTATCTGCTCAAGAAAGCGAAAAAAAGTGTTTTTATTACTTACATTAATTATTATTGCGTGCCGAAGTTTATAGATCGCTTTAAGGAATCGCGGTGAATTTTTCGTCCGACAAAACACAAAAAAGAAGATTTGTTTTTCAAAATAGTTATAATGTTTGATATTTTTCTTGGTTAAAACTGAAAACATACATTATTAAAAAAGTATTCTCGCAAGATTATATATATTTATTCACTTAGATTAAATAAATTTTTTATTCGAAGTATATCTACTTGTATTACTTTATACTGTTAATTATACGGTTAACTTGGTTCACTTTTACACCAATACTTGAATTATTTACTTTATAAAAATAAAAATAAACGTTGTAGTAAAAATAATTACGGTTTATTACCTTGAAGTAAGCTCATTAACGTATTGAAACAGCTATCAACATAAAATAATAAAGAATAATACTTTATTTCATAAAAAACTTTAAAACCTTAAAAAATTATCATTAATTCTCAGAAATTTAGATTTCTTACCCTACCGGTCTCGGGTACCCGATCGATTTTTAAATTATTTGTGCAAAACAATATGGTTCTCTATTGGACAAATATTTTACATGTTATAGTTTTAAGAAAATTTATTGGTTGGAAATTGCCGGGTACTCGGAACATCTCTAATAAAGATCGAGTATTTTCTGGTCAATTCTTTAAATTTCCGACCTATAAATATAAAATCAGAGGGAAAGTAATGTAATATCCACTCCCTAGTTGCAGCGGATAATTAGGATGGTTTATATACTATATTTTGTCGTTGATATGTCGGTAATGTTTCTTTTATCCTGTAAATTACTCTCATTTCATTATTAAAATAAATTAAGTAGTCATTTTTTTCTTATTTTAGATCCTATGTTAGAACCACAAATGTAGCGGATTTTGCGGTTTGCCTTGATTACGGATTACACAGAAAAGCAACAGAATTTCATTCTTTTACCTGGAAAAAATCTGAAGCAATTAGCGAAAAATGCGAGGTAAGATTCATTTATTAAGAGTAATTTTTTTTTAAAAGTATTCAGTGCTAAGCTTATTATTTATTCACTATTTTTTATTGAAATTATTGTAAAAATTGAACAATTTCTTTATATTTTGAAGTGTTATAACTTGAAACACAACGTGTGCAGCTTTCAGCTTTAGACAGAGATGGAACACCGGTGTCCCTTTTATATTTTTTATATTGACCCTTAAGCATTATTTTTTTCATAATTGACCTAAATTGATACAAAATAAATAAAAATGTATGTAAAGTTGGTTAATAAATATTCTGCGTGAAAGGGTTAAGCATAATAAATGGAAAAACTATTTTAATAGGTAATGGCAGACGATTTTGTTGTTTTTGGAAAGGACTCCATGATTAACTCTTCTATAAGTCTGATACGTTAAAATTGGAATCGCAGACGATTGGATAGAAAAATTTTCCAACGTTGCCACTCAAAACTGTGAAAATCAGCCACTATATTAAATATTAAATACTGTTTTTCAACTCGTCATGTAAGAGCTTTGTTATACGAAACATCGTTTAGCCGCTCGCTGGAAATCCATTTCAGGATTCATTGTGTAAATCTCAAATAAATCATTTGTAAACAAAACCTTATAAAAAATATACGCTTAAAACCACAGTAAAAAACATAATAATATTTCTCCAAGCTTATCTCTAACGGCTTTTACACTGTCTAGAAAAAAGAAGAAGAAAAAAGACGAACTTCTTCTTTATTTTGAAAGAAAAAACCTAATTTTATGTGCTTTAGATATTAACTTCCGTAACTTGTTATTCATCACTATGAAATACCTCACATTTTTTAGCCGCTTCTTCTTAGTTAGAACGGTACATACTAACCCCGTAATTATACTTCATTCTCTGGCTTTTAAAACTTCAGAGAGTTTCAGGGTTGAGTTGGCCCCTGTCACAACAATTGAAAGTGAGCAAAAAAACTCATTTTAACCCACTCTATCCTCGACATAACAAGCCAGAACTTTTTTTCTTCTTCTCGTAGTTATGTAATTTGTTATTTTCACCCTTTTTTACCCAAATGTTTTTGACTCACTGATTGAATTTATGTAACCCGCATTCCCATGAACTGGTAACCCATGAGCCTATCTTACGAGTTCACGAAAATTACTGTGATTTCCAATTTTATTCTTTTTCTTCTTCTTTCTATTCGCATACGAATTGTTTGTGAGAAAACAGGAAGAGGAATGATTCGAAGCCCTCCCGTGACTGTTCACCATAAAGTTCTATTAGTGTCCTTTGATTACTGTACATGGAGATACAGACCGATGGTTGTAAACGCGCTTGGTTACCATTCTTTCAAAGGAAATTTTCGTTCGTTTTGATTATCCCGATGCAGAAAAGAATTTTTTTTTTTTTAGAATCCGTGATAAAAAGGGATAAATAATTAATATTGACGCGTCCCTTATAAAGAACGCGAAGATCTTTTTAATATTGCGCTTTAAAAATGCGGTAATTTTTGAAAATGATGCTGACAGGTGATTTCTTTTCTCGCTTTGATTGCAATTCTTTAATAAATTTAGCCTAGATTTTTAACTGAGTTACCGAATATTCAGCATCACAATAATTATTGAAGTTCATTAAAATTATGTTAGTATAGAAGCTGGGCATTCTTTCAAACGAAGTCTTTCTTTCATAAAACCTTGGCCGTTACAGGATACAGATCTTCACAGTTAACAGAATTCGACAAACCAAAGAGGATTTGCTTTTCTTGTAAGATTCGGAAATCTCTTTGATTGTACTTCTGAATTACATTTTTAAGGTGTCTTTGAATGCAGTATACTCAGGGATATTTAGGGCTAAAGGGATAAGAAGACATTTCATTGCTTAAAGGGGAAAATAAAAATGTTTTTTTTAAATTTTGAAGCGTTTTTATTGCAAATGTTATGCATTTCATAATTATTTGGGCAACACTGGAATTCATGTTCATTTATTCATTGTTAGAATTAACAGGCAAACGAAGAAACACAATTACACAAGATTACACAAGTGAAAGTTAATTCGATTGTAAATAACACAAAGGAATGATAGTTTTATCAATATAGGATCTATATCTATATTATAGATAATAGAAGTGACGTAGTTGAATAAATGTAAGCTTTATCTATGTTAAATCATGTCACTTAATTCTCATTTTCTTTCTCGAAATATAAAACAAAGTTCAATTTCTTCCTTTATGTAACAAATTGCACGCTTTTCCTTTTTAGCTGAAAAATAAACATGGATTACATAAAACAATAACTTTTGGAAAATTATAAAATGAAATAAACTAGTTAAAACTTTGGTTTTAAAGTAATATTATAGTATTTTATTCATTAAAAATGTGCACAATTTTTTAAAAGGATTTGTGTTTTAAAAAGTGTTAGTTTGCAATATAAATAAATTCAACACCCATTTTCCATTAAAGTTATCAAGTACTTGTTCGAATCTACAAAAGACAATTTTTGCAAAAATGTCGCTATTATGGCTTTTCAATAAAAATACGTACTTAATCAAAATTTCTTTTTCACATTTAACAAGACAATTGCGTCTTTGGTAATGAAGAAGTGGTGTTTTTCAAGGACATTCTTCATTCCAATTCTTATGAGATCAATTTTGTTCTTTGACTCAGACTATTATGTCCTTTCCAAGAAAACACTCTAATGGAGTTAAAGGAAAAACTTCGCTTCATTACAATATTCTGAAGAAAAAAAAGCTATTGCATCAATTTGAGTTGATGCAATAACTAAAGATAAATGTGCCTCTTTGTAAGATGCTTTTTTTTCATTGCCACTTTTATAAGTGGCATATCTTCAATATTATCTCTTATTTAGAAGTCTATATATACAAAACTAGTTAGAATAATTGAACTGTTTTTTTTTCCAAGTCACATGATGAGATAGATGGGTTTAGTAACCGATTGGTATTTGTCATGATTGATATTTTGAGATGGTCTTTACACTGAAAATATTTACGTTAAAATTAATGGATCGATTTCAAACAAAAGAGTAAAATAGTTCAAATAATTTTTCATTCTGGTTTCTTTGATGACATTTCCAAGAACTAATTTAAGCATCACGAATGTTTCTAGGTTATGCAAATTCAATTCTAGAAATTAGGCCAATTATGTTTAAATTCACAAATCCATAAAACGAATTATTGGTATTTTTTTATTGTTTTTAATAAATATTTATTTATTTCTATTTATGTTTTATGATTTTTTTTCATGAAATATCAATACTCATTAAAATACTTTCATGACAAAATAGTACTAAAGGTCTATGGTTTCTCACAATTACCAACAAAAAAACTTAGGAGTTCCTGCTAAGTTATTTAGTTTTGATTGCACTGATATAAATTACTGAAAATATAATTTAGGGAAAAGAGAAGTAAAGAATCGCAGTAAATGAGCGATAAAGAATACAATTGGAAGAACGTTTAAAATATTTAAGGAAAAGATAACATATTTCGCGTTAAAATACTCGTCCAGCAAATAAATTATTCTTTTCCTGAAAAATAACTTGTAAAAATGCAAAGGAACTGTGGAATTAATTATTCAAAATAATAGAATTTGCATTTAATTTTTAATTTAATATTATTACTTTAGCCTTTCAAAACGTTGATATCCTGTTGAAAACTGAAGTTACAAATTAAAGCATAACCTTTTACAGCAAGCAGTACTTTTCTTTAACGTGGTGAATAGCACTTGGCGACGTATTCAATTTGATAATTGTTCTTTTTTGATAATTTAGAAGCTAATTACTTTAAAATAGGCGAAATATCATAACAATTACTTGGAATTGGTGACAATTCCAATGTTAAGATAGTAGTTTTTCATAATTATTTCGAAACAGACAATGATAAACTTTATTTATGAATTTCGAACTTAACCGTACTATATATAAATCAATCAACTCAATTAACAAATGGCGCTTCATGTAACTTCCTTGTTAGTCATTCCCCATTAACTATGTATCATATAAAAGTAAAAATTATAGGAATTATTAATCAATTGTTTTTCGTAGTGAAGTGAAAAAAAAAGAAACGTATGTCTTCATCAACGCATTTGAAGACAAGCTGGACATCATTATAATAGGTTAAGAGATTGGTTCAAGGATACTTAGACGCGAGGAGGGGGTGGGGCAGATAATGAATTCAAGTATTTTTGCAACATGAAATGCAGGTGGTACGTCACGTGACTTCGGCTTTCATTCATCCGTAAAAAAATTACAAAATGTCTCAACTCCACCCACATATATAATTTCACCCCGACCTTGTGGCAACTCTCTTTACAATGGAGTAAAAAAAAATCAAATAAAAAAAATCAAATAACGTATTCTTAGCTCGTACTCTTGTCTCGATTCGAACCTTGAATTACGGTGGACATCATCCTGTTGCTATTGAGAAGCTACTAAAACATGTCCCGTCAATTGACTACAGGGATATAACATGATTTTACGGTTTGTGTCTTTATGAAGAGTACGCTTGTTCATTCTGTTAATGTTCGGATAAAAGAGCATAAATGATTTCAACACATTCTTAAATTTCGTGTTTATGTTAAGTAAAACAAACGATTTATTTATTTCACTTTATTAATGTTTAAAATCTATAAAAATAAAATACAGATATTGTGTGTCTGTTCTTATAACTCCTAGACCGACACTAGATAAAGAGGGCAATTTTAGCCCCCTACCTTAAAAATCGTTCAAAAATTTAAATTAGATCGTTCACGAGGGATGTTTAAAAAATGCAATTTCCTCATTGTTTTAGCCGTTATTATAAATGAAGTTGTAGACGATTTTAATAATAGCGTCAGTGATGTTTACTTGCTTATTGCTCTCATTAATCAACAAAGGAGCTTATTGCCCATTCCAAGATGTTTAATTATTTTTTATTCGTTATGTCAGATAAACTCAAATGTTCAATCTGAGCACGGTAGCTTAGGCGGACTATGTCTCCGAATTAGTATTTGAATAATATGAAACC